AGAAGAACTCATCTAAAGAAGGAAGAAGAAGTTCATAATGAGAAGAATTTATTCAATCTTTTGCTCAAATTCATCATTAGATGAATCAATGTTTCCAGAGAAAGTTCATAATGAGAAGAACTTATCTGAAGAAGAAGAAGAAGTTCATAATGAGAAGAACTTGTTCAACCTTTGCATGACTCTATCACAGAAAGAGATAGATCAGCATCAACTTTTTCCAGAGAAAGTTCATAATGAGAAGAACTAATCTGAAGAGGAAGAAAAAGTTCATAATGAGAAGAACTTGTTCAACCTTTGCATGACTGTATCACAGAAGGAGATAGATCAGCATAAACATTTCCAGAATTGTTCATAATGAGAAGAACTCATATGAAGAAGAAGAAGAACTTGTTCAACCTTAATTTGATTCATCACATATTGAAGTTGAATCAACCATACCTCTTTTGAAGATCTTATCACAGAAGGAGATAAATTTTCATCCTAAGTGGAAAAGTTCATAATGAGAAGAACTAATCCCAAAGAAGAATTTGTTCAACATTGCCATCATAATCAAGTGAAGTCAAATGGATAAAAAACTTATTATCTTTTCGTATTTGCCCTATTCTTGTTAACATAAGAATGAGCAAAGAGGGGCAGCTGAAGATACTAATTTTTTTATCCATTTGCTTTTATTATTATTAATATTATTATTATGTTATTTTATTTATACTATTATTATTATTTTATTTTATTTATACTATTATTATTATTTTATTTCTTAGTTTTTATTATTATTATTATTATTATTATTATTATTATTATTACAGGCCTAAACCAGAAGCCAACTACAAATGGGTACCCAGAAACCCAAAACCTGACCCAGTTACATAACCCTAAACCCAACTAGGGTTTCAACATCTTCACCAACCGCCGCTCCTTTACCACTATTGGATCTGGCTTGATCCAACGGCTCACAGCCTTCTAGATGAAACCCTAGGGTATCATCACCCTAGGGCCACAATGTCGGTCGCCTCTTTGACACCTTCACCAGCCGCTATAGTTTGGTGACTCACCAAACTTCCACCCTTGTGACTGGTCCGAGACGAGCCTCGGTGGTGGCTATAAAAGCCACCGAGCCCTCTGCCAACAAAAAACCCCAACAGAAAACAACCAAAAAGCACAACCAACAAAAAAAAGAGAAGAAAGAGAACTTACCCTTGAAGCCTCGATCATCCCCAAAAGCACCAAACATCGCCGGAGAATAGAAAATACGAAGGTATTTTCTTAGATCTACTCCGATTAGTAGTCTTTTAGGGGAAACTAAAGCCAGATTCGGCCTTGGGGAGATCGGGGTGTTATTTTCGTATAAAATAATATTATCTAGCCACCGAAGGCGGTGGCCAGCGATAGAGTTAACGGCGGCAGACGGTTGCGGGCCGTTGACCGGCCTTTCTCCGTTTGGAGAATCTAGAGAGAGGCGAGAGAGTTTTAAAACTCTCTCAGTTAGAGAGAGAAGTAAAAAAATGAGAGAATGGCCCTTAAGGGCCGACCATATTCGGGTTTAAATACCCTTTCCCAAACAACGCCGTTTTGGGGGAGGGGTATTTGCGTAATTTTAAATGGGTAAATTACACTCGTTGCCATCCCATGTTTGTAACTTTAGTCACTAATTTTAATATCTTCATTACAAATTAGAGTATTTAATTTTAATATATTCTAATATAGTCACTAATTTTAATATCTTCATTTATTTTTAATTACAAGTTTTATTGCTTTTTATATTTTAAATTTATAATTTTAATTTTATTTATTTTAGTCACTATTTAGTTGTATTTTAAGTTTATATGTTTATTTTCAATATATTTAATTATTATTATTATTATTATTATATATATATATATATATAAATATTTATTTATTTTATTTTATTTCTATTAAATAAAAATCCTATTTAGAAATTTAATTTTATATAAATTACTTTTAGGAAAAATAATCATATTTTAATATTTATTTGTTTTTTAATATTAAGAAATGGGCTGTCTTAAAGCACCTAGAAGTCATTTTCTGATATTCTTAAATAAATAAATATCTTATTTTAATAAATTATATATTAATTTATTTTAATTATTTTTAGAGAAATGTTTTATTAATATTTATTTATTTTTTAATATTAAGAAATGGGCTGTCTTAAAGCACCTAGAAGTCCTTTTCTGATATTTCTAAGTAAATAAATATCTTATTTATATAAATATTTTCTTAAAATTATACTAATAAATTTGAAATAATATGATTATGAATTAAATATATTTTTGAATTCTTAAATTTCCAATAATATAGACAATTTATAATTAATGAGTACCAATTTTGGACATTATAGAGGTGCTAATCATTCCCTAAATGTAAACGACCACGAATCATTTTTTTACTAAAATCTTTGGTTATACGCAGATCAATTTATCTTTTAAATTATATTTTCTTCAAAACTATTTTAAAAGATTGTTTTTAGGTATTTGACCTATCTACCCCAAAAATGTCAATGGCGACTCCTAAAACATTTTTTAAATCAAAATCATTTACCTATTCATTTTATTTTTTCCGCCAAGTAAAATTTCGTACCAGGGCGAAAACCGGTTACGACACGTCACACAAGATGAGGATGTAGCATATTTCAAGTCACCCAAGGTGATGACATAACATGTGACACATCACTCAATGTGAGGACATGACATGTGATGCATCAACAATAAAAAAACGTGTGAAGATATCACATTAGTAACATGCGTTAACTGTTATCTAACTAATTTTAGGTTTAATTTAGTACATTTTCCATCTTTTGCATGATTGGAAGTGAGTTGTTTCTTGGGCTGAATTTTATGTTTTTTGCTACGAATCGCTATTTTGATGTTGTGAGATTTTTTTGATGCAGTATTTGTTGTGAGCCAATGCGAGATAGAATTGTTGAGCCGGTTCTGCAGCTACTGATAACTCACCAGGCAATTATAGAGAATCTTCTTGGACGCTCAACTGTCTCATTTGGATAATATCAAGGTTGAAAAATGCAGAAAAACTAGAAATTTTCCTATTGGATAGAGCCTTGACTTTTAGGGCTAACGTTCACAATTTTCACACTATTCTTCTTCCCCTTTTATTTTCTAGCCTCCATTTTTATATTTCTTCCACCACCATAGCAGTCATGGCAGCTTAAGCATCTTGGGGAGAGCATCAATTAGACGTAGAGCAATGCACCATGAAAAATATGACCGGTGTTGTTTAGGTTCCTTCTTTGCTTTTACTTTCGAACCCAAGAGGAGAGAAACATTATTAGCTTAAGTTGAATGTTATTTTTATGGATGGGGTGTTAAATTTGGATGTTAATTTGTTTCAATATTTTATGAAATACATGTTTGTTTATTTTGCTGTGTTAATGGATTAATGTTGCTTGGGTTTAATATTTGGTTTTGTTTTTAGAAATAGAAACTGCAAGTAATGCGTTGAGATACAAGTTACATTCTGTATAACATCATTATTGTGAGAGCATTTTGTAGCACAATTGAGATTTATGTTAAATTGTATTCGATCTACGTTGATTTGGCCTCTAGTTATATCACTGTCCTTGCTCGTGTTGAAACATCGTTCATTAGAAAGTATAGATGAAGTTCATACTTCATAAATTGAAGATTTCATGTTGTCTCAATTCGATAAATTCGTATCGAAATTCTTCGAGTCTTTTATGAATTCTTTATTTTTTTGTCATGAAAAGTGAAAACCCTCAAATTTGGTTAACTTTAGCATCAGGTTTGTTTGATAATTCGATCAATATTCGAAAAATGATTTATTCAAATATATTCGAAGACCTTAATGTAAAGATCAATCAACCGATTATTCTCTTGAAATAAAAGTTATATGAAAATTTTGCTTCTAGTTTAGAAAATATTTCGTAAAGACAATTTAGTAAAATATATTTTTAGATAATTTTATGTTTTATTAACCAAACAACATAATCTTACATTCCAACAAATGAATTAAATAAGGTGATATAACACCTCAATAATACATCAAGTAATTTTATATTATAGTAATCTTGTTTCAAAAAATAATGGTAAATTTTATAAATGAAACAAACACTATTAAATACACAAAAATACCTAATAGAATTACAGAATACTGTTAAAAAAAAAGGCTTAATGCCCAAATAAGTGCCTAAACTATACCTTTTATGTTTGAATAGGTGTCTACATTATTTTTTGACACATCCAGATACCTAACGTTACAAACATTATCCTTTTAGGTGCCCGACCATCAACGACATCAGTTTTTCTCATTAAGTGAAATGTGTAACAATCTGATAATTTTAAAAATTTTATATAAAAAAATTAAAATATATATTTTAAAAAAAAGAAAACACATAAATTTTGAAATAACCCCTAAACTTTAAAAACCTTCATTTCAACCCCTAAACCCACGTCGATCGCCACCCTTTGCCATCGAAGAAGCTCTACCCGACCTCCCCTCTCCTCGGCGACCAAAACCCCTATGAAATTGTGATCGATTGAAGATCGATCGACGACAAATCGAAGTTTTATATCCCGCGAATCCTAGGATGAAAATCTTGATCCCACGCGATTCCGACGGTGAATCGACGACAACTAGGACGGCATATAACTAGGATGATGGCAAATACTATGTCAGCGGCGGTGGTCATGGCTGGAAAGGAAGCTGAGGGCGGGTTAGTGTTAGAATTTAAGGATTTTTAGGGATTTTGTAATTTAAAAAAAGTTAGATTTTTTTTATAAATATAATAATATTTTTTTAAAAAATCAATTTAAAAATTATCAGATTACACTTAACGAGAAAAACTAACTCCGACGGCCCGTACACCTAAACAAATATAGCGTTCCTAATGTTAGATAACTTGATAGACTAAAATTCGATACAAAAGTACAGTTTGGGCAATTTTTTATGCAAATTTTATTCATGAGTTATCGAATTGAGATTGTACTTGTGCCGAACTTTTTTTCTCCCAACTTGGTTTCGTTCCGTCAGCTAATGTGTTACTTTTATAATTCTGCTAAAACTGAATAAAATAGATCGGGAAGGAAAGAGCAGAGTGATAAAATCAAAAGGAGAAGAAAACGAAGATGGCGAGAAGAGGGAGCAGCAGAATATTGTGGGGATTAGCGGTGGCTATGTTTTTAGGGGTGGCAGTTTATTTCAGGCTTTGGGCTATTCAACACTCTATCTCTTCCGACGACGCTGAGTTGATAAGGTTAGTTTATATCTGTATATAAATTTTTTGGGTTTTGGTTAAAAATTAGGTTCCTTTGAATTCTGGGTTTTCAACTTTCTGCTTATATTGTAATTAAAATGATTTTGTTTTCAATTTCTTGGAGAAAAGGAGACAGTTTGATCTTGCAAACAAAGAGGCAATGGATGAATCCGCGGAGTGGAGGCTGAGATTTGATGTAGAGGCAAAAAAGTCGTCCAAATGTGCCAAGGAACTAGAAGAGGTATCTTCTCTTGTTTCCATTTTCATTTTCTTATTAAATTTGAATCAATTAGTGATTTTAGGTTTACAATTGCTATTATTGGTTTTACTCAATTTTGAAGAAAGAAAATTTAAAAGAACAATTCTAATAGTGTTTCAATAAGAAAAAATGGCTGATCTTGCAAATCAGTTCACATGAAAAAGTTCAAATTTGGAGCTATTAAGTGACTTTTGCTGTTTTAATTCGTATATGAAACTGAAAGAATTTATCTTGGGTTCCCTTGAGCTAAAAAATCTATCAAATTCCTGCTTAAAAAGCCAAAATCTGGATCTTGTTACTGGAGAATTCCCTTAAAAGCTATAATCGAGCAACTTCTCAGTGACATTCTGCAGAATTCTACCTTTTAAAAAAGCTATACTCGACCGTTTCTTTCTTTCCATGGTTCCTGGTTTTAATTGAAATTTCATGCAGCCGCAACTCATACTAATAATTTGTTATGAAGAATAATTTCGCGCTAATTTCCTGGAATAATTTGTTTGACCTGGTATTTCTTCTTTTAAGCCTCCTTATATTATCATGTTGTTCATGGTGAGAGTGTTATTCGGCATTTCTCGGAACTTTTTGTAGTCTGTTCATAAGGACTAATTAAATATCGGGAAGTGATATGCACTGAGAATAGGGAAAAACTAACATGCTATTTGGACAAGCATATTTTAGAGGTTACTCCATTTATGCTTTAGTAAGTTTCTTGTAGAGGTGAGTTTTAAGGTTAAATAGATGCTGGAAGAAAGAAACTTCTTTCGTTATTATCTTTTTAATCCTTAATTCGTCCTTGACAACTCTTGTGACGGATAGAGTATGTGTCCTTTTCACAGATCAAGGAGTCCTTTGAAAAGAAGGAAGATTCCACTAGCTCCAATAAAAGACTAGAGATGCTGCAAAAGGTAACTTCTTCACTACTGAAAGTTGTTTTCTTTAATCTTTCTTTCTTGTTATATTGTTCTTATAATCACTGATCCTGTATGTTTTATTTGTCATTCTTGAAAACCTTCTTCAATGGAAAGGCTAGAACTAAGGCATTTGATCATTGATTTTACTGGAAAGGTCATTTATCATGACTTTCCTAAAGTGAATGTGAGAGAGACTTTTGCTATCGTTAACAAGTCATTTAAAACTTTTTGAAACAGCAATTGCTACTGGTACTTAAAAATGGGTTTGCAGAAGAAAATTAATAATGCCTCAATTATTGCTTCCTGTTACATTGACTAATTCCAATTTTTCCAGGAAAATGCAGGTTTACTCGAGAAGATAGAAACTTTAAAAAACGAGCTTGAAGCCGAGAAACGGAGGTGTCGATCATAGTATAGAAACTCCCCCAAAAAAAATTGGTGATATTCGGGTTGAGCACAACTTCACTCTGCTACATTGCTTGCAACTAATTGGTTAGGAATCTGCAGCTTCCCTAGTAACTCGTTATGGTGATGAACTTTGAAGTTGTTCTTTCCCCATGCATAATCAAGGCCTCAAATTTTCTTGTAATAGCTGTTTTAGGGCTACAAAATCTCTTCTTTCCTTAGATGGTGGATTGTGACAGGGATCGGTTTCTTGTATGGGATTGGACTTGGAGGAGTCCCCTGCCATCTTTTAGTTCATGAAATGTTGATCATAATCTTTTTCTTGAGAAAAATTTGGTGCAAAATCACAGCTTGAAGATAAAGGAAGTGGTTTTATGTGCTTGGATTTGAATTTCAAAAATACCGACACGGTCATTAGCTCAAAGTTAAAGAGTTGCTCTCTTTTAAATAGAAAATCTGTTACCAGTAGCCAATAAGTGTTGAGAGTTGTGAGAAAAGCAGGGAAGAAAGTAATTTATAATGAAAATAGTGTGCTTACTCAAATATACAAGTACTGTTTTAAGAAGAAAACTCAGGAACCCTAGCAAAAAATCTATGTATATATACACTGTTGGTTTAATCAACAACACAACATATTGAAAAGTCAGAAGGAAGTGCAAACTCCACAATCATCACTGGGAAGCCAATGACCAGAAACTCAACAGAAAGGATGGCGACATGGCGAACCAGCTGATGAAGGCCATTGCTGTAGCAGTTTCAAACTGAGTGCAGTGGTTCAGACCACATTTGTCAAGATCATTTCCAATCAGGACTGTTATACCAGCTGATGCAGAAGCAGCGGCGAATGTAAGGGTCGAAGTGATCTGTGCAACGAAACATCATTTTAAGCAATTCTGATACAGAGTACATACCTCGGAATTGGACTTAGACATTAGACAAATTTCTTCATGCATACGACCAATTTCACATGCTTAACAATTTACTTAAAGACCTAGCAATTTCACACACACCGATTTGATACAACTCACAAAATGAAGTAAACCCCATATCAAAAAAAGCAATAACTAAACATCCCCACAGTCCCCAGTATGTGCAATGGCATTCTAGAACTTGCATTGAGAAACTTAACTTTGATCAATAAAGTCTGATTATCCATTTTTAATACCTTTAAATCACCAAAGCTTGGGGGGAATTGTTTTCAAAATTAGATGGAAAGTTCATTCACAGAATCAGAATAGCCAGTGATTACTGAAATATACATCAGCAAAGCCTAAATTAACACAACAAGTGCCATACAAGTTTCCTAAAGTTGAATCGGTAAATAAAACGACAAACAAAAAGATGACTATAGTAAACTATGCTGCATACTTTTCATGCTTGATCAAGTGTCTCTTAAGTCTTACCCCATCACCAATCGTGAATAAACGTAGTGCTACATGGTTTCGCAGACTTCGTTTGACCAAAATGGCATATATGTCGACAAATGCCAGGGACAGGCTCCATAAACTTTGCAGGCCAACAGCAAGAACAAGGTAGCTGATGCAATAAAAGAAATCAAATGTTGATGCTAGTATTAAGATGAAAACTGTGAAACCGTCATCATATATCTAAATATACACTTACACAGATGCATAGGCATTAACTTTACTAACCTTATGCAACTGGTAAGTGAAGCTAAATATACACCCATGAATGTGAATAACTGACTGATGTAGCAATAGAAATTCAGAGTCCGTACTACCAAAGAAAAGCCATCCAACTATGTTGAAGAGAGACAAATGCATAATAGTTTAAGTCACCATCAAAGAAAATGCAGAACCACTTCAAGGAAGCTTGTCAAACAGATATAAATGTGGAACCCTAAGTTGGACATGATATGGGAACATGACCCTCCAAGAGCCTCAAAAACTATGAAGTGAGAAACTCTGAATATCCCCATGATGAACAAGCAGGCATACATTATTAAACACTCTCGGTCGAGTCCGAGTAACATAGGCATTGCCAACTCACTTTAGCTCAACATATTACATTATGTGGTCAAAGTCAGAACAGCTAAATTCAATTAAAAATAAAAAGGCATTCATTTTCCCATAACTATACCGATCATTCAAGTCCTATCTCAAATACATTACAGTATAAATTGTGATACAAACATAGATACCATTCCAAGCAAACAACTTACCCATATGTCTGGTTGAAAGATTAGAATTCTATAGAAAAACTAGAAAAAAAAGATTTTGCATTTGATTTTAAAACTGGAATAACAACTATAAATAGTTTGTACAAAAGATAAAATCATTTCAATAGCTCAACTATACAATCTACAGGGTGTTTGTACAAAAAATAAATTCATAAAAGGAAACAAGGTCAAAAAAAAAAATGGAAGATTGAAACATCAGAATAAGTAAAGGAATGGAAAGAAAAAAGGGGTACTCACCAAAAAGCTGTGGCGGAGCGGAAATCATTGGTGGTGGCCATGACAGAGACAGAAATGATGGAGGAAATGAACTGAAAAAGACGAAGAAAGAGGCCACCTTTAGTCCCAGGCATGCCTGGTATGTCCTTCATCCTTACTCTAGGACGGTGCACGGCGGCCTCCGTCATCGGAGGAGCCTCCACCGGATGAATCGCCGGACGACTCACGTTCATTGTTTCCCTTTCTCTTGCTGGGAAAAAGGTTGGGATTTTTATTGATTTGAAAACAGGAAAAAGATCTAATTTTTCATTCTGTTTCTTTACAAAGTGAAATGGAATTTGGAAATCTGGGATGGAGTTCCCCGTGTGTTGAGCTACTGAGTTCTCATTGATCCACTTTACTTCACAAAGTAAATGATGGATGGTACAAGTGTTGAATCTGAGCCGTTAGTTTCAAGAGACTACGATCGAGATGAACCGGTTTCGATTTGATCTCTTACGAAAAGGAGAAAAAAGAAGTCAAAATTCAAAGGGCATATATGCTTTCTTTTTAGACCAACAAATTGAATTGCAAAGGTAAAATGACTTCTTACCACACCTAATTTCATTGGATAATTACTAAATCTCTAAAAATATGAATCATCATGTAGAAATAGATGTGGGTGATGTAGTTTTAAGATATGATATAAATAATAATTAATATTGTATTAATTTTTAAAATTATTATTTAGAATAAAATTAAAAGATGTTTTTTATTATTTTATTTATAATTCTTTTCATATTTTAAAGTTGAATTATTACTATTATTATTTTTTGTTGTCTTCCAGTTCCAAGGTTTCGTCTTGATTAATCTGTAGTGACCTGAGTAACACACCTCCTTTGGTGGGTGAGTCTCCCAGTAGAGATTTTTTACATATATATAAAGACTCGAACTTGAGACTTTGTTTAAGCGATATCAAACTATTTATTACTTGAACCAATCTGTTAGTAAGTTGAATTATTATTATATTTAGACCGAATGTTAATTATTTTTTATGACAGTAGTTGTTCTGAAGGAGCTTGGACATCATGAAAACGTTTTTAGGGCTTTCATAGTAGGTTTTACCCATTATCAAAACTATTAGAGTTTTAAGCCCAACCATCCATGATTATTCCTAAAATATGAGGATGCAAATCTGATTTTTCAAATAAATTAATATGGAGAATTTAGATTTTGAAAATAGTAAAATTAGAATAACAAATATTTAGAATGTAACTTTCATGATTATTCTTGAATTCATGAATTTGTTAGATGTTCAATTAACAAGGAATTGAAAATTTCTAATGTACTTTTAGATTTAATTAATTCATTTTTTTTGCACTTTTCGTGTTTTTAGATTTTTTAGTAGCTTTGAGTTGTTATAAAGTTATATCTGTTTAGAAATTTTTTAATTTTTTAATAATGTATGTATACTATGTAAATATAGTTGCTCGATCCAAAAACTTCTAAGAAGAATGACATTCTCTTTTATCACTAAAATCGCTTAATAAACTTAAAACATTATATATATATATATATATATATATATATATATATCCACTTACAAAATGTAGACTCTTTGATTTTACACAGATTTAGGATCGTTGGATGAGTGAAAATAATAGATGAGATTAACTCCTTGTTTTTTTGTTTTTTTTTCTCTAGTAAATCATGTTTCTCATTTTTTAATCCCATTCATATGTTTTTACTCATTCAATGATTCATAAATCTATGTAAAACTAAAAAAAAATTACATTATATAAGAGGATAATATATATATATATATATATATATATATATATGAATAAAAAGACATAGGTCATGAATGACTTCCCAAGATTTGACAAGACCACCTCTAACCATTTCATTCCATAAGTAATTTTATATCTTTTCCTCAATTTCATTTCATAAGTGGATATCCATATACTTCATTTTCATATTATTTTTAATTAAACTAAGATTATTATAAAGTAGTATTTATTTCAAATACTCTCAACTATTTGACAATGAACGTTTAATCAATTCTGCTACAGTCGTTGGTGCTCAAATTCAGAACCTCTAAAAATAATAATTATTTCTTTAACCACTGAGGTAATTTAATTCGTGATTCATTTTCATATAATTGTTTTTTTGAAAGAATTCATTTTCATATATAAATGAGATATACGTCTTCCAAAAATGTGGGGTCACAAATTATATTTTAATAATGTATAATTTATTATTATAAAAATATATTCTTCAATATTTAATTTTTTAAATATTTGAATATTTTTATATTTAAGTTTTAAATATTGGAATATTTTTATATTTTAAATTTTGTTTTTTTGAAAAAAATAAATAAATTAATCTAATCTTCGAACTCAACCAAAAAATCAATTTAATTTATTTGTCACGTCACAAATCATCATGAATAGCCACGTTAACACCGTCACCTTCCACATTTAATTGTGTTCGTCAATCAACTAAATTAATATTTTCTTTCTCAATTTAAGGGATAACAAAGTTTAGTGAACCCTAAATAGATTACATTTTGGAGATGAAAGTGAAACAGGGACCGAACTAAATAAGTGGATCATATCGTCTAAAATGACCATGGCACATGATCCTCCTCTTCCCCTTCCTGTGATTCACTAATAATCTGTCCCTCATTTCACAAATGTCATCCTCTCTCTTGAGGACACTAATGGTCTCAGTCACCACTCGAAGCTCTCTTATCATTGAACTATGTGGCTTTGTTTTAAGGTTTAGGGTTTAGGCATGAACGTATAATTTTATGTCAAGATGATGAATTTATAAAATTTTAGGGGATAGAAAGAAATTATTAATACAAAAATACAAAAATAAATACTATTATATCGGAATTTGAAAATTTTAGGAGCCGTCTGCCACCATCAGTCCCCTCAATCCAACCTTGGTCCCTTGGCTCAAGAACCTTCGCTGCAAAACACAAAACTTGGAAACAATGACCGAGGAAGATGTTCTATATACCTAATATGAACTTCCATTTTTCACTCACTTGATGACATAGTCTTTGTTTTGATGTTTGTGTTATCACTGTGTTTTTGCTGATTTAATTGCCACGTCCATGGCCATGTCCAACCCTACTTTTGGCTGTTAAACTGAGTGGATCATGTCACCCAACTAGGAAACAGCATTAAAGGAAACTTCGGTTGACTAGGATAATAAATCATAGGCACTGTTCATGAACATTAATTAGTACTTACAATGTAAAAAGTGAATCAAATTTCCAGCAAAAGTGAAGGTTGTAGAAGACTTCAAGTTCATATATTGATGTCAAAAGCAGTAATTTACAAAAACAACAGAGTTTCCCCATTGAAGGAAATTTGAAGTCTTTTTTTCCTTTTAATTTGAGCCTTCCAAATTCCATCTACCTTCTCCTTCATGCAGTCCAACCCTTACCTAGATATATCATATGTTTTAGAGTAGCCAAGCTGCTCCATCTCCCAACTCAACTTTGAAGCACTCTTTCATGGCAGGGGACATATTCCTGATTACAATAAGCAGACATGAAAAGCAAATTCTCCTGAATTAATATTAATATATACACACATTTTACTTTATAATTCCATGGAATTCCTATGACTTCTTGGTAAGGAATCAGCTTGAAGATATAAATATATATGCACTTTACATGATGATGAAGCTTCTTTAATCTATATACCTCCAATTGCTTTACTAACTCTTTTGCTGTGGGTGCAGATACAATGATTTGACGTGCATTCGGACTAATAAATCCTTCTTCCACAGCTTTATCGATGAACGAAAGCAACGAGTTGTAGTATCCATCAACGTTCAGCAATCCTACCTGAAAGAAAGTGGAGAAATTGTGCATTTATTGGCTATTAGTTTCATGGTGACGGACCAGTAATCGGTTTGTTGAGTGACAAATCAATATTTATGGAAGGAAAAAAAACAAGGACTTTACTGGCTTATCGTGTATTCCGAGCTGCGCCCAGGTAATCACTTCAAGCAGTTCTTCAAGAGTTCCATAACCACCTGCATGCAGTTCATATGAGTCTTATCCAAACCATATTACAGCAACCAAATCATGTGATGCTGCAAAAGAGATAACTTAGTACCTCCTGACGATTTTATTGTGGAAAATGATCATATGTCACACTTTAGTACAACATTTGATTGGTGATTTAACATGATTGGAGAGACAGGAATGGACAAGAGTACTCAAAAGCAATGACATCTATGATTCTACTAGATTTCAGGTTGGAATTAATTATGAACTCCAAAAGTGTTGAAAGATAAAGCAACAGATTTTTTTTGAACCCTCTGTTATATGATGTGCTATGGTTTTAACATTAATGGCATGCATAACAATGAGATTTCTAGATGATGATATAGACCCACTTTTTGTCCACATTTCAAGAACAAGGGTGTTCATTGCTCCCATCCTTTGTGAAAGTAGAGGCACAAACAATCCTCTGCCTACCCATTCTTGCCATAATGGCTCTCATTCTACCTCATTAATCATTATCACCTTACAAAGCTTTCTCCATTTCAATATTTTTTTAACCTCCGGTAGGTAACATGCAATGGACAATTCCTCTTACAATGACAGATGTGCCATTGTATATAGGCATAAACTAAAAAAAGTCCCTATACTATACCACTTCTTTGCTTTAGGCCCCTAAACTATTTTTTGGTCAAAACAAGTACCTAGTTTTGTGTGATGTGTCAACATCAGTGGCCAAAAAAGAATTTTCTAATTGAAAAAATAGTAGGACCTCAAGTGGTTACATATAAGAGTTTAAGGACTTATTTTGACTAAAAAATACTTTAGGAGCTTAAAGCAAAAAAGGAGTATAGTTTGAGGATTTTTTTTTTACATCAAGCCTTGTATATATACTCTATCTTTCAACTTTCAAGATAAATATAGAAGTCAAAGTTCAGGTAAAAAGGAACTAAAAATGGGAGCCTTTTGAGAGAAGTAAATAGGAACACTTTTTAGTGAAAGTATTAAGGGTTTTCTTCACTCTTCCTATGCCATAGCTTAGTACCTTTTCTAAAACTATCTTTTAATGTAAAGATCTTTGCATTCATCTTGAATTACTTTTTTAGTTAATAAGACAGAGGAAAGAAGCAAGGCTCAAGTGAATCAAATCATGAGATAGGGTTAAATCTTGTAAGCTAAAACTGGTGAAATGAAATATTTTGGTGTAAAAACTGTTGCTTTATGCTAACCTGGTAAGGCAATAAAAGCATCTGAATGCTTGGCCATCTCAGCCTTCCTTTGATGCATATCTGCAACAGCCTTCACTTCTCCTACTGTTTCACCAGTTAACTACAAAGTGTTGCACAGAGAAACAAATAAGAATAGTGAAACATGGGGAGAGACAGATAGAGAGA